TTCAAGACGCACTTCGCGCTCGACATCCAGCTCCCGCGTGCCGCTCTTTTGCAGGTGCCGAGTAAGACAGTACATCTGCGAATTTTCCAAGTGGTGGAGGGCCGCGTCTTCCATGGTCCCATTATCTCGCTTCTGCCATGGCGCGGTGGCGTGCTGAAGATCTGTCATGCCCCCGCCTCGTACCTCGCACATGTCGGCGCTTGTCTTGCGATTTAACGTCGAATTCTCAGATTTGGTCACGAGCTACGGATGACATGGTAATGATGCGCGAAGATATCGAGCACGAGCACGAGTATGCAGGTTATGTTTGGCGCGACACGCGTGCGAGTGTACGGCGCGCCGCGCTTGTCGATCATCGTGGCGCGTCTGGCAGTTCCCTGGAACCAGCTTAGATTTCCTGGTCTACAGTCTCCCAGAAGTTGTTCGAGCTGAGAGTGGCAGCAGTGCAGCGCGGGTAGCGTAGCATGTGCCGTGGGTTGGTTCGGCGTCTCTATGCATTGGGACAGCGCGTGGATCAGTTCCCGGCGCGCTTGCCTGCCGGCCAGACTACTGCGGGGTGGCGAGCTCAGCTGTCTGATTTAACGAGTGTCGATCCTGCACGCTGTCAGGAGATGATCGATCGATGCTCGCGCACGCTTACTAAGGCTTGGCATGCTGCCAGGACCTCGTCTGCAAAGGTGGTCAAGGACTGGCTCCTGTGGGCGTTGCGCCTGGGGGCCAAGAAGGCCCGTGCGTGGCTGAAGCGTGACCGCGGTGAATCGCTGGAGTATCTCCTCGCCCCCGAGGGCGCGCTTCAGCTGCCAGAGGAGATAATGGATCACCGTGCCAAAAAAGGGGGGTCGTTTTTGGACGGTCAGCCCATCCCAACTCGATGGCCTCGATGAAGCGTTGGGCGAGCTTAGGTTGCGGGCGCTGCAGGTCGCCCCTGAGCTTCCTGACATCGAGCCTCGGGATGAGTGGGAGTTAACCGCTGGAGGCCCCGCGATTTCCTGAATTAGGATTCCCGGGCCCTGTCCGCCCTGGCTCATCTGCTTACGTCGCGCGAGAAGGCCATGATGTGGCCCGCCCAGATCTTCTCGGGGGTCATTTCCCTTTTGCCCGAACGTGCCCTTGACGAGCGCCTTGTTTGCAAGTGTCTGACCGTTTATAGGGTCCATTGCAAAATCCGTCGAGTTTTCTTGGAGCAGTGGCCCGGGGGGCACGTGGATTTCTGGGGCGACGCGGTCTGTGGGAGCTCTGCCCTTCAGGCGGCTCTTAGGAGGGAGATTTGTCACGGGGCTGCTATGTTCGAGGTCGTCGAGAGCGTGGCGGTGCATTGGGGTCTGACCAAGTTTTTTGACACGGTGGTCCCCGCGCGGCTCGTCTCTTTCGCTTGCGATCTCGAGTTGCCCCCCTCGCCTCCTCTTCCCGGGCCTCCTGATCCATGCGACTCCGAGAATGTAGGAATCAACCGGTTTCTCTTATAATACGATCGCTTTGGGCATGCAGTCTATGTCCTGGGTCAAGGTGCATTTGCGCCGGAGCTTGCAGGGCGTTCACCATCGATTGTCGCCAGGGGTCTCCACCAGGTCGCATGTAGATGACCTCTCCCAGGGGGCCCAGGGTAGTGCGGGGGAAGTGCGTGAGGAGATTCTTTGCGCTGCTGTGCACCTGGGCCATTCCTTGGAGTCAGTGGCGCTGATTCTGTCTGACAAATGTGCCATCGTGGGCAGCGGCCAGCCGCTTGCCCTCTCGATCCTGAATGATCTCAGGACTGCTTGTTTCAAGGTCATTATGAAAAAGAGGCTGCGGATGGCTGCCCTGAAATCTCGCGAGCTTCGTTTTCTCATTCAGTTGGCCAAGCCAGCGTCTAAAGTGTATGAACCTGGAGTGTTAGCTGTCGGTGCCTGGGGGCATCAAGCGGTGGGGCTTTCTACGAACCAGGTCCAGGTTGTTCGAGGGCAGGCGGCTGTGTGCTCTGGTTCTTGGCATGCTGATGCATGCTCTACTACTTTCCTCGTCGCTATGGGAGGGGCTCGTAGTGGCCCTACTCATCGGCTTCGTCTGGGGCATCTCGAAGGTTTTGCCTCCACTGGGGTCGCTCTGGGGCATCCTTTACAGTTGAAGGTTTCTGCTCTCTGGGGGAGCAAGGTTCAGGGGTTCGCTAGTATCCCTGCCAAGAATATGGCGTCGAGTCCGCGGCCCTGTGACCGCTGCTCTACCTAGGATGGGTTTCTCTTTCCCCTGCGCGCTGGCGTGGCGAGCGGGGCGCGTTGATCCAGCTGTCCCAGCCTGGCTTTCGCGCGCTTCCGCCGCTCCATCCAGCGCGCGTGCGACGCTAGTGTCTGGCGGCAGGCAGCGCGACTTTACGTGGGGGAAGGAGTCGAGGGAGGCGTTGATTTCACGTGTTTTCATAAAGAGTATCGGAGGATGGGACGGGAGTTGGATCATGAGGGGCAGGCCATTTTGATGGATGCCGTCTCGGGAGGTTTTTGGACTGAGCTTCGATTGCACGAAGCTGGTGACGAGTCTGCTGCCTTAGGCTTGTGCGTGCATTGCGGAGGGCAGCAGGATGCCCCTTTTCACCATTTTGGCAATGCCGTATGAACGAGTTCAATCCAGACACGACGGTCGGCGACTCCGCCAACCTGTCCGAGCGTGCTGCTCAAGATGATTGCGTTGCTCTGTGGTGCCGCGGGCTCATGCCGCTTGATCGCACCATGGGGCATCTTCCCGCTCCTTCCGGTGAGAGTTGGTTCTGGGGTCAAGGAAGGAGGAGTTTAGGGGTCTAGATGGATCGGGGGGGGGGGAATTTTGTTAAGGAGTCCAGCTAAGGAGATGCTGGTGGGCCTGCGTGCGCCTGTCTGCTGCCGTAGATGATGCTGATGGTGGAACTGCTGTCGCGCTGCCAGGCCCCGACCAGTCGTCTCCTCGTGCCGAGCTCCTGGCGCTGATTTTTGTGTTCGGGTATGCTTCTGGGAGACTTGTGATTCTCAGCGACTACCTTCCTGTTGTCCGTGGTTTCCGAAGGCCGAGGTCGGCCATGACAAATTGTGATATGGTGCATATGTGGGTTACCCTCTGGAGTGTTTTTGACCGAGGGAGTGGGGATGTGGACTTACGTTGGGCAAAGAGTTACCCCGCTGAAATCCGAGTCAGCGCCCTCGGGTTAACCCGCAGCGAGCGTTTTTTGAACGGAGCTGCCGGCCCGTGTGCGTCAGAGGCGGCGAGGAGGGCTGAAATTCCCGAGCATCTTGCGGCTCGGACTCTGTTGCAAGAGGACCTCCACGTGGCCATCCTCCGACTCCTCGTGGCCATCCAGCGTGATGTTGTCTCGACTTGCCCACGTGACGGGCCGAGCGCACGTGGTGGTAGAGACGAAGGTCTCGACCACGTGCGTCGGAGGAAGCGCAGTTTCGCTGTAGCCCGCGAAGAGAGGATGCGTGAGCAAGGCCGCTGCCCCGTCAGGCTCCGCACCCTGATCAAGTGATGTATCTGTCTTGCTAAGTTCAGTGTGCGCGGGGCGGTTTCCGATTTTTGGCCCAGCGCGTGCACTGGCAGTCGTTTCGCCCGCTTCTCCGCTTCGAGGAGTGAGGATCCGGTTTTTGGCCCTGGGCCCGAGGAGGTGGGCGCTGAAGCCCATCCTTTGGCCATCCATTGCCACGAAACCCATTCTTTGTCGGTGTTGAATGGGGTTTTGGTTTGCTCGACCTGTGGGTGTTTCGCGGTGCAACGCGGTCGCGGCCTGCGGGTCCAGTGCGAGCCTCCGACCCGAGCAGGACTGCAAGTCCTGGGGCGTCTGGCACGAGGGCTCTCGCCGAAGTCGGGGGTGTCTTTCCCTCGAGAGTGATGTGGCTGGGGCGGCCGAGCTCGCACTCGGGAGCCGCGCTCTCGCCATAGCGCCGTAGCGCTCCTCCTCCTGCTTCGCTGTCCTCCTCCTCCTCCTCCCCCATTTCCTCCTCCTCCTCCTCTTCCTCCTCATCCTCCTTTATTCCTCCTCCTCCTCCTCTTTTGTTTTCCTCCTCCTCCTCCACATCTCCTCCCCTCCTCTCCTCCTCCTTCCTCCTCCTCCTCCTCCTCTGCTCCTCCTCGTCCTCCTCCTCCTCGTCCTCCTCCTCCTCCTCCTTCTCCCCCTGCTCCTCCGTTTCTTCCTCCTCCTCCTCCTCCTCCTCTTCCTCCTACACATTTTCTTCCTCCTGCTTCTCCTCTTTTGCCCCTCCTGCTCCTCCCCCTCTTTCTGCTCCTCCTGCTTCTCCTCTTTTGCCCCTCCTGCTCCTCCCCCTCTTTCTGCTCCTCCTGATCCCTGCTTCTCCTCCTCCTTCCCCTCCTCCTCCTCCTCATCCTCTTCCTCCTCCTCATCCTCATCCTCTTCCTCCTCCTCCTGTTGCTGCTCTTCCTCTTCTTCCTCCTTCTCCACCTCTTCCTCCTCCTCCTCCCGCCGAAGGAGCCCACCAGCTCCTTGGCCCAGCCAAGGGTGGAAGGGGACAACAGCTTCTACCAGGACAGCGCCAGCCACGACGAAGGCCCACGTGGAGGGGCTGGAAGAGATGAGCCAGAAGGAGGAGACCTCGGGGCGGGTGGAGCCAACGGGGGAGAATAAGATCAGTCAGCCAACCCATCGTCGCCATGGCCATCGAGACCATCGACGGAGTGCCCCACTGGTGACACGTGGAGCCCAGACAGTAGCGCAGGCAGAAGGAGGGCAAGGCCAGAAGGCCATGCCAGCCAGGCAGGGACCGCCGAGGAAACAGCAGCGATGGACCTGCCGACACTCGGAGCACAACAAGTCGGCCAGGCCCAAGCCGAAACAATACCAGAAGCCGAACTCCGACGCCGAAGAGCCAATGTGCAGGCCTGGCGAAGGAATGCAGCAGGCGGGCGCAGCCGACCCGAGGAGGATGAAGACTTGCAGCTCATGCAGACCGCCGCGGGGCCAGCGGGACACACCGACAGGGCTCCCTCAACGGTATTCGAGCCATCACACCAGCGTGAGGAGCAATATCAATGCCTCCAGCACGGAGAAGCCCAGACAGACCAGCCGCCCGTGGAGGCGCAGGAGCCAGCCAGCACCAAGGCTGACACGCGCGGGAAGGCGACCAAGCGTCCCGCGCAGAGGCCTACAGGCAAATCACAGTGTAAGGCGCGCCGCCCAGCGGGGCCCGACGCCAGCCCAGACGCGCAGGCCGCGACAGGATCCCCTGCGGCCAGAGAGGCCATGGTAGCTGCTTCAGCCCGCCGAGAGGCCAGGCTCAAGGAAATACTCAACAGGAATTCGCGCAGCCATGTGGACGACAGCATCGAGCTCGTCCAGAACGAGCTCCACGTCTTTGCGGACCACGCCATCGTCACCAAGTCCCCCTTTCATCAAGTATGACCGCCCAAGACAGTCCTCGGCCAGTACCTGCACCCGCTCGGTGCCTGCAGGGCGCAGGGACCGCCTCGATGAGCTAACGACGACCATCGGCTTGATCGGAGCTGAATGGGTGCCCCGCGAGTTCCTGCAGAACGAGGAACTGGACGAGCAGCAGATGTGGTTGAACTGGTGCGTCCCCTTCGTGCTGCAGCTGATGGAGGCCAAGGACATGGACTGCCTGTTCAACGCGACCGACGATGACGAATACTGCGGCTACAAGAAGCAGCTCGCGGAGGAGGTGTGCTACACTGCTTGGGGCCGCAGCGTCTCCCTCCGTGAGGTCCTGCGCACCAAGATCCGCGAGCGAAGGCAACAAGGGCAATAACTCTCAGACGACCAGCAACGCATGGCCAGGACCTTCCTCAGGCTCAGCGGCACGGGCAGCCCAGAGTCCCAGCCGTTGGTCTTCCACAGCAGTGAAGACCAGGCCGACAACAGCGGAGGCGACGGCAGAGCCAAGATGGGCTCGGCCGAGGCCGTGGCGCTGCTCTTGGCAGCGGCAGCAGCTCGGCCCAGCCCCCGCGAAGATGAGGCACGCAGCGCTGGGGACGACCGAGCAGCTGCGCCAAGACCACCCGTTGAACAGGTCAAGATCTGCCGCGACGATTGGAAGCACCGCCTGCAGGAGCAGATCAACCACGCGACCCAGCCAGCGGCAGCCGTGGCAGCAGGCGCAGACGCCAGAGGAGGCGCGGAGCAGCAGACGCGCGCGGCGCGGCGGGCGCGGCAGCGGCCAGGAGCGGACGAGGTGCAGCAGGCAGCCAAGGTGGCCCGCGCCACACCTGCCGCAGGAGGAGGAGGCCAGCAGCCCTCCATCCGCATCCTCCTGGGCTAGTGGACAGCCCAGCTGCGCGCGCCGCAGAACGGCTGCGCGCCATGCCCCGCTCAGCACGCTGGGGCAAGGCGGAGGAGCGGGCCACCAGCGCGGCTCGCGAGCCATGCCGAGCGGCGCAGGCAGCCGCGCCGCGGGCGCTGGGCGCCGGCGGCTGAGTGCACGCGGGCGGGGGCGCGGGGCGGCCGCGCGCCGCCCGCCGCACGCGGGCGCGGGACGCGCCCGACTCAGGTGGGGGGGCGCCACGGGCGCCCCCCCCACCTCAAGAGACGTCCCAAGAGACGTCCTCCTCCTCCTCCTCCTCCTCCTCCTCCACCTCCTCCCTCCTCCTCTCCTCCTCCTCTTCCTCCCTTCTGTTCCTCCTCCTCCTCCTCCTCCTCATCCTGTTCCTGTTCCTCCTCTTCTTCCTCCTCCTCCTGTTCCCGCCTCCTCCTCCTCCTCCTCCTCCTCCTCCTCCTGCCCTTCTCGCTGTCCTCCTCCCTTTCCTCCTCTCTCCTCCCTCCTCCTCCTTCCTCCTCCTCCTCCTCCTCCCGCCTCCTCCTACTTCTCCTCCTCCTCCTCCTCCTCCTCCTGCTCGCTCTCCTCGCTCTGCTTCTCCTCTTCCTCCTCCTCGCTGCTGCTGCTGCTGCTGGTGCTCGGTCGATCAGAGCCTCGAATCATCAGGGCTGGAGGCGGTCAGAGATAGCGTCTGATTCGCGCCCCGGCGGCCCAAGCCGGAGTTACCCTGGACCGCAGTTATCCAGGATAATTCGGGCGTCTAACTCTCCCAAATCATCGTTGTTGGAGGCATTCAGCGTTAACTACAGATATCGCGCTTGAGGGGCCCAAGCGGAGTTACCCCAGACCGTAGTTCTCCTGGATAACTCGTGCGCGTCGCCGTTGCGTGTTATCCGGCCCCAAACCGAACGGTCTGGCTTCAGAGGAGGAAGATCGACGGCGCCGAGGGAAGGTACCCATACCGCTACCATTCCCTGGGTTTCCCCTTCGTGCCTCCTTGGAGGCCCTTGTCGCCACCGCTGGATTCGCCTGCTCCTGCTCGGTCGATCGGTCGGTCGTCGTTCTGTGAGGTCCGGCCCCGAACCGAAACATCAAAAACGGAATCGACATAAACTTTCGGGGATCCGCGTGGATGTCTTTGATTTGCTCAGAGCCCCCCTGGCGGCGCCTCCAGCGCCAGAGAGTGGGACCCAGCGCAGATCCAAGAAAATTCCGCGCGGACCGTCGAGAGTTATGCTGATGACCCCGCTTCTGCTTCCTCTGCCGAACCAAACCGGTTGGTTCGGGGTCGGATACAGTCGACCCGCATGGTCAGGATGGGTAACCTTCCCAAAAGTGCTCTTGCATCCTTGCCTCCTCGGTCCATCCTTGGCCGCTTTCGTTGGCCGCGCCCCGCTCGAAAAACATCGAAATGGCCTTTCGAGGCCCTTGCATCCCTCATCGTGCATCTTCATGATGCGGTTAAGTCGGGCCTGTCCCTCTACAGGAAGAACATTCAAAAATAGTCCAAACCTAGTCGGGGGACGATTTTTTCAGTAGTTTTGGGCATTCTGCGAGTATCTATGGACTATTTTTCATTGTTCGCCCAAGATCCCCCTTTCTAGGGGGACAGGCGCGACCTGACGATACGGTTTGACTGTGCCACGCGAGGGCGACGTGCACGTTCGCGAGGACGGCCGGCCCTCTTTGGCGGTCGAGGCACGGGCGACGCAGGCGCGACGCACCCCCCCTGTAGCGACGCAGGGTTGAGCACGCCAGACGCTTGACTCTGCCTGTAAGCTGAAGCCGGGTACGTCCTTCTACAGGAGGAAGACTCAATAATTTTCAAACATAGTCAGGGAATATTTATTTACCTAGGCTCTGCCTAGAAGGGTTCTTACTCTGTTAGCTTAAAGGGGCCGGGCAGTGCTACACGCCCCGGGCGGTTCCCCCAGTCCCCTGGGAGCGGTTCCCCCCAGTCCCCTGGGAGCTTTAGCTTTAGCTTTAGCTTTAGCTTTAGCTTAGCTTTAGCTTAGCTATAGCTTAGCTGTAGCTTAGCTTTAGCTTAGCGTTTCGCTTAGCTGTTCGCTTAGCGTTTAGCTTAGCTTTAGCTAAGCTTTAGCTTAGCTGTAGCTTAGCTGTAGCTTAGCTGTAGCTTAGCTTTAGCTTAGCTTTAGCTTAGCTTTAGCTTAGCTTTAGCTTAGCTGCAGCTTTAGCTTTAGCTCAGCTTTAGCTTAGCCTTTAGCTTAGCTTTAGCTTAGCTTTAGCTTAGCTTTAGCTTAGCTTTAGCTTAGCTGTGGCTTAGCTTTAGCTTAGCTTTAGCCTAGCTTTAGCTTAGCTTTAGCTTAGCTTTAGCTTAGCTTTAGCTTAGCGTTACTGTTACTACTAATGCTGCTTTCCTAGGGGTTCCAACTCCTAGGTAGGGTCGCACTGGGATACTTTTGTTTTTTTGCACAATTTCTGTCAAAATTTTCCTATCTTTTGCATATTGCAAATATTTCTTCCAAAATCTGCTTGTAGGGGGACATGATGGACCGCGAGGGTCGGTTTTCGAGGTCGCCGCGGCAATCGCGGCGGTGCCAAATCGGGGTACGGCATCACTCAAGAAGTGACGTGTTCCTTCCCAGCCCCCCTTCCCCGCTCTGTGATGTAGACGTGGCTCGTCTTTCACAATGTAGCGGAAGAGTGTTGTCAGTTTATGCGCACCTTGTGCAATCTTTTTTGGTCGATGTTCGCGCGACCACGGTCGACAATCGAATGCCAACAAAATCGGCATCAATGTATCGTCTCGGAACGTCGCGCGACGTTCTTGGCTCGTCGCTGGGCCCCCCTTGTGGCGCCTCCGGCACCGCCCCGGCGCGTTCAGCGCGCCCAGTATTTACTGGTCCAGGAAGTTGGCGCGGACCTCCGAGGGATTTTGTATTTGCCGTTTGCCGCGCGAGCGTCGGAGGAAGCCCGCAACCCATACCACGACCTGAGCCTCGGCCTCGCTCGGCCGTGTGCATACAAAACGTCAGCCGACATGTCGTGCTCCTGCTGGACTTCTCCCTTGTTCTCCTCCCTCGTTCGCCCCCCCGTCGCCCAGCTTCCTGTCCCACTGGCCGCCCTACCAAGACAGTTTCTGCTCCTCCCATGCGGGATCCCCAGGAGTCCCGACCCTTTCCCCGGGATCGGCGGCGAGCGATGGGGGGAACCGAGAAGGAAAAATGGCCTTCACAGAAGGCGGCGGGACTTCTCACTCGTGGGCGCGCCGCCGACAGCAGAGGGCGGCTTCTTATCCCGAGTTTGTTCTTGACGGCGCTTGGGCTCCTCGGGGGACCGTCGAGGCCGGCCAGAGAGTCTTTAAAACCGTATGAGGTTTGGGAGTGTGGCCACCCTTCCCTTCCTCTTCCTCCTCCTCCTTCTCCTCGTGCTCCTTTTCCCCAGGCTAGGCCTATGTGTAGGATGAGGAATCGCATGGGGTGAGGGAGGATGAGGATGAGGAGGAGGTGAGGAGGAGGATGAGGAGCAGGAGGAGGAAGAGGAGGAGGAAGAAGAGGAAGAGGAGAGGGGAGGAGGGGGAGGAGGGAGGAGGAGGAGGAGGAGGAGGAGGAGGAGGAGGGTTAGGAGGAGGAGGAGGAGGAGGAGGAGGAGGAGGAGGGGGAGGGGGAGTGGGAGGGGGAGGAGGCCGAGAAGGAAGGAGGAAAACGAGGGGAGGATGTGAAGGAGTCTATAGGGGAGGTGGAGAACAGGATGAGGATGGAGCAAGGGGGGGAGCATAAGGAGGACCCCGCGACTGCTCTCTTCTTGTCCGTGGGATGAGCGTGCCCCGCCAAGGCTGCGCCCGAAGAGGAGGCCGAGCTGAAACAGAAGGCGTGGTCGTGCGCGCTGCTGCTGCTGTTGCTGCTGCTGCTGCTGCTGTCGCCCTCTCTTTTTTCTTTCGAAACAGTCCTAAACGCAGAGATCCCCACATGTGTAGCTCGTTTCCTGCCACTCCCGTTGTGAGTGTTTGAGCGTGAGGAAGTGATAACTTGTGGCGACAGTGACAGTCAGTCCGGCTGAGTGGGTCGCCTCGAGGCCAAAGATGACCCCAGGGCGGTCCAGCACGACCCAAAGGACTCGCACGACAGCGTCCCTTCTTGGAGCCTCCTTGCCTTCGAGGAGTGAGCATACTGTAAAGACGTACGCTGTTGAAGATCCGCGCGGATTTGCTGGGTGGCGCTGCCCCCCCCTCCCCCTCGCTCGACGCCTCCGGTGTCGCCTCTGGCGCGGTGGCTTGCGCGCAGAGAGATGAGAGAACTCAGCTGCGAAGCTGGTGCGGACCTCCGACGGTTTGTGCTCATGCCGTTTGTTGTTCTTCTGCCCCTCCTCTCTCTCTCTCGATCTCTCGTCGCCGTGGGTTCCACTCGTTCTTCCCCCATCCTCCTCGTTCCTCCTTTCCTCCTCCTATATCCTCCCTGCCACGTGGCCGCAGTTGCGCAGTTGGCGGTACCCGGGGAGGGCGAGGGCTCGCTGGGAATTGCGCATGGCATCGTTCCGCTCCGCTTGACCTCTCGGGGGTCACGAAAGCATCGACACTTGCGCACTTCGCAGCACCCAGAGAGGGCGGGGTTTCGCTTGGATTTGCGTACAGCACCACGCCGCTGGCCTCCCAGGAGCCTGCAAACGTGGCACTACTTTCGCAGTTGGCAGCG